CCTCTACTCCATCTCCACAGTGAACTGGTTCTACTTCTGAACTGGGGATGGTCGCCCTGACGAGAATCATGCTGCCATGGGAGTTGGGCCCCTTTGGTACAGAGTACTGTTGGTATCCAGGCAAGCGGAATTGTTTATCTTTGGACATCAGGGTTTCTTGCAGAATGAAGACATCAATATTTTTAACTATGGCTGCTGCTTGTACAGTGTGCCGTTTGTTGGGTAGGCCTTGTACATTCCACTGTGTTATCTTGAGATGACAAGGAGGTAGGGCTATTCTATCATTATCTTCTCGTCGCTGGTGCTGTAGTTACTCTCGGCGTTCGTGGTTGAGTCGCTCTCCTACTCGTCCGTTAGGAATGGTGTGCTCATTGGTGGCTGTTTCTTAGGCACCTGTTCTAAGGGAGGAGCAGGAGGTGGAATTCCGCTTGTTTTTGGAAGTATCTCAGGAGTTTTTTCTGCGCTCTACAGGGTTCTGTCGCTCTTGCCTGTGATCGTGTGTTTGCTGACGGTCTGTGTTTGTTGTTCTATTCCTCGTGATCTGTTGCGAGGGGCTTGAGGTTTCACGATTTTGAGTGATCTCTAGGATGGTAAGTTCTTCTTCTTGTCTGATATCTGACTCAAGGGCGTCGTCTGTTCCACTTGTAGTTGTTGAGTTTTGGGGGTCTGGTCTTCTTGCATCTTTTCTGTGAGCTGTCATTACTGCATTTATTATATTTTCGGTGTTGGCTTCCTGTTTCTTTATTATAGTAGAGACAGTCACTCTCATAATGGTGATCATCTGTTTTATTTGTTTTTCTGTGAATGCCGCTTGTAGATTGGCAGGCTGGGGTGTATTCAGTTGGGTAGTCGCCTGAGGGGGTTACAGTGTCCCAGGCAATATGATGTTCTCCACCAATACTGGAGTGTTCTGTCCTTTTACTGCTATACAGCTCTGGAGCTGCTGTTTTGGAGTCCACTGATTTGTCATGGTTTCCTGCATGGACTGATTTTGTCCCGGTGTCTTCAATTTTGTCCTGTAGCCTGGTGGGGGAAGTGCAGGGAAGGAATCCTCTGACAGTTGGGGCGGGGTGGGTGTTGGGTTGACTGTTTTCTGTCGCTGTTGACCCCACACGAATGTGCTCTGAGGTGCTTCTGTTGTGTCTTGTGGTTTAATTTTTGCCATTGCAACTTTCATCCGCTCTCTCCTCTCTGGGCATGATGTGCTCCAAGCGTGATGTTTCTTTCCACAATTTGGGCACTTGGCTGTCGTGGTGGTTCCTTCCTTGTGTTTTTGAATACACATTTCTGTCTTGTGGCTTTGGCTGCAGATGCCACATCTCACTTTTTTGTGGCACCTGGATTGGTGACGTCCAAATTTCTGACATTTGTAGCATCGTAATGGTTCTGGGACAAAAGGACGCAACTTTTAAGTCCCCCAGTTGCCTCGGTCTACCTCCTCTGGGACTGTCCCCTTGATGTCCACTAGCACTTGCCTTGTGTGTGCTTTGTCCTGACTCTAAGAACATAAGAACATAAGAACATAAGATAATAAGATAATAAGGAGTCTGCAATAGGCCGGTTGGCCTGTGCATGGCAGCTCTTGTCGAGAGTTACTACCACTCTCTATCATCCATGAATCTATCCAGCCTCCCTTTGAAACTTTCCAGCGTTCCAGCACTTACTACAAAGTTGCTAAGCTTGTTCCACTCGTCCACCACCCTATTTGTAAACCAGTTCCTTCCTATCTCCCTCCTAAACCTAAACTTATTCAACTTGAATCCGTTGTTCCGAGTCCTATCCTGCTCGGATATTATAAGAACTTTATCTATATCACCTTTATTGATTCCTTTCACCCACTTGAATACTTCTATCATATCTCCCCGCACTCTTCGTCTTTCTAGGGAATGCAAGTTTAGTTTCTTTAACCTATCCTGATATGGAAGGTTTCTATGTCCCGGAATCATTTTCGTCATTCTTCGCTGCACCGACTCTAGTGAATTAATATCCATTCTATAATTAGGGCACCAGAACTGAACCGCATAATCGAGGTGCGGCCTGACTAGCGCAAGATATAGTTGCAATAAGACCTCTGCACTCTTATTACTTACACTTCTAGATATAAAACCCAATACTCTGTTTGCCTTATTTCGAACATTAACGCACTGTTTTCTAGGCCGTAGGTCCGGACTTACAAGTACCCCTAGGTCTCTTTCACAAGTCGACTTCTCTAGGTTGATGTTGTTAAGGCTGTATACATTGACAGTAGTTGTTCTTCCAATATTAAGTACGCTGCACTTGCTGGTGTTGAATTTCATTTGCCATTTTTCAGACCACCCCTGCAGTTTATTTAGATCCTCCTGTAATGCATTTGCATCCTGCCCTGAATTAATCTGCCGCCCTATTTCGGTGTCATCCGCAAGCTTGCTTATGTCGCTGCTGATCCCAGTATCTCGATCGTTTATGTAGATTATGAACAAGAGTGGGCCCAGTACTGACCCCTGGGGAACCCCACTCAGATTTAACACCATCTACGCTGACCCTCTGCGTTCTATCGGTGAGCCATGATTTTATCCAATTTAAAACTTTCCCCTCGATACCATGAGCCTTAATTTTTCTCAGAAGCCTCTGATGCGGTACTCTGTCAAATGCTTTGCTAAAGTCTAAGTAAATAACATCGTAATTTTCGTCATCGTCTACTACCTCGAAGACTTTCCCAAAAAAATGTCAGCAGATTTGTTAGACAAGACTCGTAACCCAACGCTCTGCCTTGGTCACTTTTGGATGTTTTATGATGACTTTTACAGGTAGTCCCAGAGGATATCGTAGTAGGACCATTCTGGTTGTTTTCTCCTCGGGGTCTAATGGTATTATTTTGACCGTCTTCCCGTTGAGGTTGGTGACCTCGCTGAGGATCTTGGCTGTGTTGTGGTCTTGGGGGGAGAGTATCAGGTCTCCAACTAGATTGGGCTTCACACTGAACTTGATGTTCTTGTAGTCTAGTTCCAGTGCTACCACTACCTCGTATGCATGGTTGAATTCGGTTTCTTTGGGAATCTTGTACTTCATCACAGTCGGAATCGCGAAGGTGGGTGGTTCTGCCACGGGGTGGATTGCTGGGGACATATTGTCTATGTCGGAGATGTTGTTTTCCTTCCGAGGCCTCTTGTGGCATTTTCCTTCCATTGATTACGTCTCTCTCGCTCGTCTTTATATCAATAAATTGACAATGAAGGCTCATTACACCTACCTAGTTCCTTGTTGCCCTAGGACCAGTGCCGTAGTCAATCACCCCCCATCCCAACGGGGGTCGTAGGTTGGTGGCTCTGGTTTTGCAACAGGACCCCCCAAAAGGGGGAGGCTACTCTACCCTATCAGCTAAACTCACCGGCCCATCTCACACCCCTCTGGGGCCCCTTTGTAGCCTGTCCAAACGACAGTTCCCGCAGGGTTCGTTAATACTGGGAGAGCAAGATGTCACGGGTTCGATTCTCGGGCCGGTGGAAGTTGTTTGGACACACTTCCTAGCCCCCATTAGTCCCTGTTCACCTAGCAGTAAAGTAGGTACCTGTTGTAAGTCGAAAGTTGCGAATTCGTATTCAGGGACAAGTTGTTGGAGCTTCCAATAACTTGATGACACAAACCATTGACTCTTCAGGCTTCTATGCCCTTGACTCTTCAGGCTTCTACGCCCTTAACTCATGAGACATAAAGGCAAGCATGAACTTAGCATGCTTCCCTGTTGGGCACTGTAAACGCTTCTGCGCTTCACCTTACACAAGGATGTAGGGGAGTGCCCAATAAAAAAAAAAAAAAAAAATACTGGGAGAATCGGTGAAGGCACTAAGAAATGTTATCATAAATCACAGAGAAACAAGAAAGTCAATTCAATAGACACGAGATATCCACGTCAAAGTGAGAGTGGCGTGTGTGGCGACAGTAAGTCTGGCCAGGCACCGACGTGAGCAAGTGGAAGCACGTGGGGTCGGGAGTAAATGCGACATGCCTCTTCTCACCTCACTACTCAGCTGACGTCTCCGAGGAAAAAGAAGAGGAGTTAGAGAGTAGGACTTAGACAGTCTCCCTACCACGCCAAGTTCGGTCAGCCAATCAGAGCACCGCAGTAAACGTACCTGTATTACGCCACCGTGGGGCACCGCTGATTGGCCAATCCAGGACGTGGACGCACGAGGAGTAGTCTAAATTTTAGGGAGCCCACATATATGATTTTCAGAGTCTTGATTGTTTCTCGTGCAATCTGAGACTGGTAATGGCACAGTCGCGATGTTGGGTAAGATTAATCACTAGGATTGAGTGCCCAATCACAACGAAGTTGCAGATTGCTCAACCACGCAGCAGAGAAAAAAAGCAAGTCTTCTGGAGAGAGGTCCAATCATGGCGAAGGCTCCATAGTCTCATGAGTCATGAGAAAGGCTTATATACAAACGGCGACCTACATAACATCAGGTCAGGTTAGGTCAATAACAGCGGATCCACTAATCCACACACAACTTCCACCGCACACGAAGGAAGAGCTTATAAAAAATGTGCGACCTAACAAGTGAGGTCAAGTCAGGTCAAAAACTTGAAACCCACTAATCATCTACCCCACATCTACCACAAATGCTTCTAAAGCCTTTTTAACCTTGGGCCACTGACAAATAAATTTATGTAACATATTATCAGTTTTGTACTGACCATCACTAAGGTTTATAGAATTAATTTCCTTAATCAAACTTGCTTCAACTAGAAGTCTTTCTGTGACACATGTTGATTTAAACACCTCTATACTGTTTTCCCAATCTATGGGATGATTATTGTTCCTTATATGAACGAAAAGTGCATTGCTTTCAGATGCTGTTCTAATATTATGTGTTGTTTTATTCTAAGTTGTAATGCTTGCCCAGCCTGACTTATATGATTTCCATGCAATTCTTACATGGAATACAGTAACCATTTCCATTTACATTCAAGGTTGAACTTCATGTGACACTAAAGTTATGGCCCTGTGCATCTTGCAGGTGACGAAACGTGTAGAGGAAAGAACTTCGTTCATAGCTACTGTGATATATGCCGTGTTCCCCCAGCGTCTCCAATACTATGACTATTCCTTCATGTTTGAGTACGCCTTCCATGCCTTCAGTATGGCTAAGCCTGCTCTTAAACCCGGTTGGCAAAGTCTCTACTATCCTCTCACTAACGAAGTCTGGGCATCCATCCTTGCAGTGCTCTTGGTAGTGCCGCTGCCCCTACTCTTGGTAAGATTTTTTCCTTCCCTGCCCCACTTCTTTTTAAATGTACTGAGACACTCCGGTGTATTACTAGATTATGTAGCCTTGTCTATAATAAAAACAGAAGTTAAAAGGCTTAAAAGAGTTGATGAAATACATTTTTTAATCTCTTATTAGTCTTCTACTGCCATTCGTTTCCCTTAAAAGTTCTAGTAGATATATTACGAGTATATTGTGCTGTTCCCTACATTGCAAGTCTCCAAATACTTGTTCTTTTCATCACTGTAACCTCAAAGACGTCTGCAATGGATATATTCATATATGACCGCATGTGAATAATGAATTGTTTATTAAAAAAAATATATTTATTTTTCTTAATTCTTAAATATAATGACTTGTGTAGTTAATAGCCCAGTAACCGCGGTTATAGGCCTTAGTTGGTGAAGCGTAGTAATGCATTACTGAAACAATGCAAAATCTTCCTTTTATTCAGAAATGTTCACTCTTTGATATGGTAAACAACTTTGAGTGAGCTGCCAGACATCTTAAGTGTTCAGGAAATAGGGAACGTAACTATACTTGAATATAAAGTAATCGTACTTGCAGTTTACGGCCAGAATTTTCATATTTCCATTTTTTCTGTTGTCACTAATCGATTCCATATATTTTGAATAATCAAATAAAATTTGACTTACTTTATTCTTAACTCCTGATCTCCTTAGAATTTCCAAAGATTCACTTGGGGATGAAAACACTGGACTAAGTAATGCTCCGGTAGACATTACACTCATTACGAATTTGTAAAGATTCATTATCAAGCCTGGCTCTTCATTGCCAAGTGCTCGAAGAACAATTCATCAAGTACAAATATAAGTACAGACTATTGTGAAATATAAGTCCAAATAGCTAATAATTGGTAGTTGAGTATCAAATACCATAAGCACTTGAAGCATTGGTTAGATGAAATATAATATATGAGTCGTGTATGTATATTATGTATGCTGTATGTGTATTATGTATGTATATTATGTATGTGCTCCATTTATATACATTATTTATTCAGCCTAGCTAGAAGCATGTGGTAATGTATTTACCATGTCCCACATGCTTAATTAATGTGCCTGGCGACATATGGAAGCTGCTAATGTATCACTTACTATATGCCGCCTAGAAGCAGTTGATCTCCGGACAGAGTAAGGAGCGCTACCCCCCTTGTGTACATATCTCTTATCCAGTAAATAGAACCTACAAAACTATACAGGTGTTTGTGTTCGCTCTTGTATATAGAACCTGATACCCAGAACACGAACAAGTCGGAACAAACATTGAAAGTTACTAAGGGTTCAAATAATAACATGAACCAAAGGAATAAAAATCTAAGAAAACCAATGGTTTAATTTATTTGATAAAGCAACTATAAAGAGCTTATTTTTCAAGATATTACAAGGATAATAAGAGACAAAGGTGAGAGGCAGACGGGCAGACAAAATAATTGGCAAAAAGAGACAGAGAACTAAAAGCATAGCCGAGGACACAAAGACAGACAACAAAAAATGGATGATACTCTTCACATTGTAACAGAGTAGTATTGTTTCTACCTCAGGCCATCTACTATATTTTTTTAAATATCATTCCATACTAAAATAAAACATATTAGAATTATTTTGCAGAGACGCAGAGACGCATTCTTTATAACATAATCTCTAAATAGCTGATGTAAAAAGTCATTAATCCTGTGACGTATCATTATTTCTATTACAGATAGACCTACTGAAGAATAAAGCACAGAACACTGATCATCTACAAACAGGTTCTATAATTCTGGAGGTATTTGGGATGCTGCTGGGCCAGGAACTTTCTAAGAAACTATCCAGTGATATGTCCAGTCGACTGCTCGTATCAGCATGGATTGTTTTTGCCTTCATTGTAGGCACGGCTTACCGTGGCAACCTCACCGCCTCCCTCACCGCCCCGAAGTACCCTGCACGCGTCGAGACACTGGAACAGCTCGTCAGTTCCGGGGCCAGGTTGACATTCATCTTCCTCAAAATCTTTATCGAATATGCAGAATACTCCTCTAAATTTTATTATTATGTTCAGACATAGATACTATTAAATCTGTATATGAACATACAATCAATTACAACTTTGAATATATTGACTATGAGCCAAGGAAATACATCATCATACAAAGCAAAATTACAAGTAGCAACAAAAAATCGAACCCCAATGTTAATGAACAGGTATGATCAAATACATTTCATATCAATTAAAAACAGGGTAAAACAGAATAGGAGTCGTGGGTACCCAATAACTGGTTGTTCTTTGTAGGTAGGGAGCGACTTGACTGTCACTCATCGATAAAAGTAAATTTAAAATATATAGGGAAATCGCATTCCTGGCTATGGTCCCTCGGGCAGCTAAAAAAAAGTTCAAAATATTACTTTCCTCTCGTCTGCCCTTATTCCATTAATCAAATTAGCACTTAAACGGCATTTAGAGTCCGTCTAATAATATACTGTATACAGGTCGCTGGTAACGGAATACTTGCGTAAAATGTATTTTTTTAAGCAAGTTGTTATCAATTTACAATATATTTTCAGTCTTTTGTTCGCTAAACACTTATTTTACCTTAGCATTTATAATTATTAAAATTTCATATCCTTTTTTTTGTGCCAATCTGTGGATAATTTGTACTATCTTGCACAAAAGTCGTGTCCACTACCCAGCCACAGTGAGGTTTTGAATAGCCTTGAGTCTGAAGTTTCGAAACAGCTGGGGGAAATGCTATGGTCAGCCAACAGATGTCGCCCACAGTAGTGTGTGTGGGGGGGAATAGAGGAGGTGGGGGCTGGATGAGAGGCAGGTTTATTTATTCTCTTATATATATATATATATATATATATATATATATATATATATATATATATATATATATATATATATATATATATATATATATAAATATATATATATATATATATATATATATATATATATATATATATATGTAATGATTGATTGTCAGACCAAAGCTTACAGCCCGGAATGATTTCACATATAAGAGCAAGTACACTACAGACCTCGTGGTACCACCACATTCTGAGTTGACACACCTCAGGTCGACCCTAGGGACTTGACCTCGCCCGCTAATGACGTGAGTTAGCCGGGTGACTTACAACCTCACCTCACCAAGACACCTGGGCAAGACCACACCTGCACACAGCTATCCAGATCAAACCAGTTTAGTGTTAATTGGCAGAGGTCAAAACGCCGGCTGTTCCTCCCCCATATAAAGGCCCTGCAGTCCCGTCCACGGGTTTATTCTGGTCATACTGATTCTCATTCTGGTTGCTGTCATCTCTCTCCCGTTCGGGTCGTCACTCGGTTCACTAAGGAGAGTCAGGCACGTCCCCTTCCCAGGTCGGGAGGGAAATTTCTCGACCAGACCACGGCATCGCCAGCTAAGCAGATTCTCCCATAGGAGGCAGCCCAGCCAGCACTCACTGGGCCTACGTCAGGGTACACGTGAGTCTTGTCAGAACGATTCCTAGGGTGAGTTAAGAACATAAGAACATAAGAATGGAGGAAACTGCAGCGGGCCTATTGGCCCATACTGGGCAGCCCCGTTTACACCCAACCCTTATTGCTCATATAAGCATCCAACCTATGTTTGAAGCTATTCAGCGTATTCGAGTTAATGATGATATTTGGTAACTTGTTCCATTCATCCACTACTCTGTTTCCAAACCAGTGTTTACCGATTTCACGCCTAAATCTAAATTTATCTAATTTAAAACCATTGTTACGAGTTCGCTCCTGGTTGGATAGTTTGAGTACCTTTGTAATGTCCCCTTTGTTTAGCCCTGCCTTCCACTTATACACCTCTATCAGGTCGCCCCTCGCTCTACGTCTCTCGAGGGAGTGCAAATTAAGATGGTTTAGCCTGTCTCTATATTCAAGGTTCCTAATGCCCGGGATTAGTCTTGTCATTCTCCTCTGAATTCTTTCCAAGGATTCTATATCCATTCTGTAATACTGTGACCAGAACTGAACTGCATAGTCCAATTGTGGTCTCACAAGAGCAAGATACAGTTTTACGATGACCTCGCTAGTCTTGTAACTAACACTCCTTTGTATGAACCCAAGTAATTTATTAGCCTTGTTACGAGCAAAAACACATTGTTTACTTGGTTTAAGGTTCCTACTTATCATTACTCCTAAATCTCTCTCGCAGTCGGATTTCTCTATGGCATCGTTGTTCATCTGGTATCTGGTTTCCCTGTTTACATCTCCTATACTGAGTACTTTACATTTGTCGACGTTGAATTTCATCTGCCATTTTTCAGACCATTCGAAAAATTTGTTTAGATCTTCCTGTAGTTTTGCCGAGTCCTCGTCAGATGTAATAACACGTCCTATTTTAGTGTCATCAGCAAATTTACTTATGTTGCTGTCTATGCCGATATCTATGTGGTTTATGTATATAATACATAATAATGGTCCAAGTACTGAGCCTTGGGGAACACCACTTGTGACGTTGCTCCAATGGAACTTAGTGCAGTTAATGCTCACTCGCTGTTTCCTGTCCTGTAACCACGCCCTAATCCATTTAAGGATGTCACCTTTGATGCCATGTGCTTCTATCTTTCTAATTAGTCTTTCGTGGGGGACTCGGTCGAAGGCTTTGCTAAAGTCGAGATATACCACATCATAATTGTGCCCCTCGTCCACCGATTCGAAAACTGATGAAAAGAATGTTAATAGATTAGTTAGGCAAGAGCGTCCGCTTGTGAAGCCATGCTGGGAATCATTGATTAATCTGTGCTTCTCCAGGTGATTTCGAATAGAGTTTGAGATGATTGCTTCCAGTAATTTGCCTACTATTGATGTTAAACTGATTGGGCGGTAGTTAGAGGATAGTGATCTATCCCCCTTCTTGAAAATCGGTATTACATTCGCTATCCTCCAGGATTCTGGTACTACACCTGTTTTTAAGGACATGTTAAACAACTTTGCTAAGGGCATACTAAGCTCTTCCTTACATTCCTTTAATACTCTGGCAAATATCTCATCGGGACCAGGTGACTTATTAGGCTTTAGTTTGTCTATTTGCTTACTAACATCGTTACTAGTCACTACTATCTCACTTAATTTGTTTTCTTCACTATCTCTGAATAGAGTCGGTACCTACTGTGGGAAGTGTATTCATTCAGGTGTGTCCGAGAGTCAGTGTCAAGTAACGTAAAACATAATGTGTTAGTACCCCGATATAATAGTGACATTAATGTGTCCATGTCATTAAGTGAATTAATAAATAGTTGTATCGAAGATAAGCGTATTGACGCTGAGTAAATAACATTCCAGCCACGCTACCAAGTTTCCTATCTTTACATTTCTACTCTCTATGCTTCCTACTTATATATAATCTTCTTCTAATGAGATTTGTCTCATTACATATATATATATAAATATATATATTCTTCTAAACCAGTATGCCACATTAATTGGGAGAACATAATTCCTCTACCTTTACCAACTGCGTATATGGTGTTATGACTGTTAGTTGTAACAATCACTTGAGAAGCTATAGAGTTTCACTATGTATAAAGTATTTTACGCTTTAAATACCTAATACAGGAGTTACGGCGTCTGTATAGAAAACGCGATCCATCTAGCTGCTATCTGTTGTGGGATGGGTGTAGGCGTGTGGGTGACGTCAATCTTCCCTCCCACTGTAGGCTATGCGCTGATACGATGTCGCCTCCACTGAATGTCAAATCTTCTGCAATCCCTTTTTTGGGGAACTGTCTGATGACACCGGAAATACTGCAATCAACGATCGCGAAACCACAACAGCAGTACAGACAGAATGAGAAGTACTCACTTACTATGGTCTCAATAAGGGATATTCTCAACACTCGAGGGAAGACGGAGCCATCCACTGCGGCTCTCAAATAACGTCTTCCTCTATCTATGATAACAAACTACTGCTCGCTTTAGGTGGCCAGAGAGCCGGCTACTCTTACCTTTACTCAGCATAGTATGACGCAGCTTCCTTTGAGCACACCTTATCACGTGCATTGAACATGTCACCTCATAGCCAGAAGAAAGTTACAGAGGATGAATCTGAATATAAATCAGATGTAAGTAACCCATTTATATAATACTTCTGTTGATGAGACAGGGGACATTACAGTAGCGTGAGGGAGGTGTTGGTAGTGGTTTGAGGGAGGTGTGGGTGGTTGTGTAAGGGAACATAAGAACATAAGAACATAAGAAAATAAGGAGTCTGCAATAGGCCGGTTGGCCTGTGCATGGCAGCTCCTGTCGAGAGTTACTACCACTCTCTATCATCCATGAATCTATCTAGCCTCCTTTTGAAACTTTCCAGAGTTCCCGCACTTACTACAAAGTTGCTAAGCTTGTTCCACTCGTCCACCACCCTATTTGTGAACCAGTTTCTTCCTATCTCCCTCCTAAACCTAAACTTATCCAACTTGAATCCGTTGCTCCGAGTCCTATCCTGCTCGGATATTATAAGAACTTTATCTATATCCCCTTTATTGATTCCTTTCACCCACTTAAATACTTCTATCATATCTCCCCGCACTCTTCGTCTTTCTAGGGAATGCAAGTTAAGTTTCTTCAACCTATCCTGATATGGAAGGTTTCTAAGTCCCGGAATCATTTTTGTCATTCTTCGCTGCACCGACTCTAGTGAATTTATATCCATTCTATAATAGGGGCACCAGAACTGAACCGCATAATCGAGGTGCGGCCTGACTAGCGCAAGATATAGTTGCAATAAGACCTCTGCACTCTTGTTACTTACACTTCTAGATATAAAACCCAATACTCTGTTTGCCTTATTTCGAACATTAACGCACTGTTTTCTAGGCCGTAGGTCCGGGCTTACAAGTACCCCTAGGTCTCTTTCACAAGTCGACTTCTCTAGGTTGATGTTGTTCAGGCTGTATACATTATAAGTATTTGTTCTTCCAATATTAAGTACGCTGCACTTGCT